CCTACACACATGTAAAATTTTGTCTTATGTAGATTCAGAAGTTTTAATCAAAGAAGGCTTTGTAGCTGAACTTCTTTTATGCACTTTGCCCATTTTACATGATTGATGTAGAGGTTCAAATGGACAATGAACAATGTTTATGCAAAATTTAAAGTGCCTTCTAAAGAGTTAGCACTTTTATTCGGAACAGCAGAATCAAGCTATTCCTGGGAATAAAGCTCTCCTAGGACACTGCCCAGCACTTTGCTTGGTAAGTTATTTGCTGAATGAATATGGACCAGCTGGAGATACTTCGGCCATTGGCCTCTTTATCACGACACTGATATGCTAGTGAAGTCAAGCAGTTCCAGGTAGTAGGTCGAAGATGTGATAATCTCATCATGCTCTAACCTTAGTTTAGGGTGGGCCAATACTTTTCCAACAGAAATTAATTAAATCCTAAACTTATGGAAGACTCATTAAAAAAATAATAATAAAAAAATAAAGCAGGCGGGGGCTGATAGAGCACTTGCCATGTTTGAAGACCTGGTTCAAGCCCTTGCACACCCCCTCCCCCACACAGCAGAGATATTTAATTCTACTGGAATTAGATCTACTCTTTCCTAATCAACCCTGCTGTCATGATGGAAATCCTCATTAAACATCCTGCTGACTGCCACAAGTTCCTAACAGGTATCACCTGTAGTTCCTTCTAGTGTATCTTCCACATTCCTCTCGGTTATCTTTATCTCATCTGATCTGCTACTTCCTTACTGAGACTATCAGAAAGACTGACAGTAATCTAAAGGAATCGATTTCTTAGCAGAGAGTCCAAGAATCCTTTCCTAGGCTGACACAATGCACTGTCTTACTTCACTATTGTCATTTTAGCAAATGATCATGAATTCAATGGTTTAAAATGAGCTTAGAGTTATTGGCTTAGAGTTCCAGAAGTCAAAAGTCCAAAATAGGTATTACCATGATAAAGTCCTGGTGCCAGGAGAACTGAGTTTCTTCTGGAAACTAGGGAAGAATCTGTTCCTTGCTTTTCCCAGCTTCTAAAGGCCACCTGCTCCCTTGCCTCATGTCACATCACTTATTCTTGCTCAAGTCACAGCACTTTCTCTGACCCTCTTGTCTTCTTCCCATAAAGGACCCTTGTGATAACATCAGCCCACCTCAATAATCCAGTATAAGATTCCTATCTCAAAATCTTTATTTAAAAATATTTTTATAGGGCTGGGGATGTGGCTCAAGCGGTAGCGCGCTTGCCTGGCATGCGTGCGGCCCGGGTTCGATCCTCAGCACCACATACCAACAAAGATGTTGTGTCCACCGAGAACTAAAAAATAAATATTAAAAACTAACTCTCTCTCTCTCTCCTTAAAAAAAAATATTTTTATAGTAGATGGACACAATACCTTTATTTTATTTTTTTATGTGTGGTGCTGAGGGTTGAACCTAGTGCCTCACACAGGTTAGGCAAGTGCTCTGCCAACTGAACCATAAACCTAGCCCATCTGTAACATCTCAAAATCTTATTTGGAGCCGGGCAGCAGCGCACACCTGTAATCCCAGTGGCTCAGAAGGCTGAGACAGGAGGATTGTGAATTCAAAGCCAAAGCATCAGTGAGGTAGTATGCAACTCAGTGAGACACTGTCTCTAAATAAAAATACAAAATAGGGCTGGGATGTAGCTCAGTGGGGTTCAGTGCCTACTGAGTTCAATCCCCAGTAAGGCCCTTTCCTGACCCCCCTAAAAAAAAAAAAAAAAACCAAACTTATCTGGAAAGTTCTTTGGTGTCTAAAGTAACATAAACATATTCACAGGTTCCAGAGATTAGGATGTAGACATCACTGGGCAACTTTCTACCACATCAGTCCTCCTAGATTCATTTTACATCACTTTCTCTTCATGATCTCCACATCCTATTCCCCTGTCCTGGTTTACAATCTCCCTCTCCCTCTCCTTTAATTCTCAGTACTGGGGATTGAACCCAGAGGAACTCTATTATTTTTATTTTCCAGATGGAGGTCTTGCCAATACTGGCCGTGAATTTGACATCCTTCTGACTCAACATCCTGTAGCTGGGGTTACAGGCGTGTGCCAACACACCCAGCCCTCCCCTCTCTCCTGGTTTTCTACCTGTGGAATTTTAAGAAACAGTATAGAGTAAGAAACCTAATTCTGGGTTTGGAATGTAGTTCAGTGGCAGAGTACTTGCCTACAATGTGCTAAAGTCTTGCTTGGGCTTAATCCCCAGCACTGAAAAAAGGAAAAAATAAAAGGAGACAGGGCTTCATTCTGGAGCTGGACTCCATATGAGTCTACTAATTGTTTGTTAGTTACATGGATTTTTTTTTTTTTTTAAACCTTAGTACTAGACTTTAATACGGGAAATATGCTGGGCACAGTGGTGAACACCTGTAACTCCAGCTACTCAGCAGCCTGAGGCAGAAGGATTATAAATCCAGGGCCACCTGGGCTACTTAGACAGATCCTGTCTCCAAACTTCTTTTTTTTAATGGAGGGGTGCATGATATGGGGAGGTAGTTCATTCAGTACTTGCCTATCACTGCAAGGCTTGGTTCAATCTATAGTACCGCCAAAAAAGGCAAAAAAGAAAAACAGGGGGTAGAGACAGTAATTTATACAAGAAAGAAATGATAAAAATCCAAACAGTGGAATGCTTTAGACAGATGACCTGATTTGATAAATTGATACTTTAAAAGGTGGTGTGTGTGTCTGAGATTGTTGAATGATTAAAAGAGACAAACAAAATACAATGAATTTTGGTTGAAGTTTAGATGCAGATTCAAACCATTTGTAAAAAAAGTATTCTGTGAGATAATCAGGGAAATCTAATTCAAACCAGCTCTCAGAGAATACTAAAGAACTCTAAACATAATAACTGGTGAGTAAACATTTGAAAATTTTTTTCTTGAGATGCACATACACAGTAGAGATATATCTGAAAGTATTAAAAGTAAAATGACCTGATATCTCTTTATAAAGAAAAATAAAAAGCTTGCCCATGATTGGCAAAATGGTAATGGCCAAAGCTGAGTTATAGGTATATGGAGTTGATTATTGATTACTGAAATTTTCCATCTTTTTTTTTTTTTTTTTTTTGTACAGGGGATTGAACCCAGGAGTGCTTTACCACTGAGCCATATCCCAAGCCCTTTCTATTTTTTTCTCATGAGACAGGGTCTCATTAAGTTGCTTAGGGCCTAGCAACATGCTGAGGCTGGCCTCCAACTTGCTATCCTCTTCCCTCAGTCACTGGGATCAGTGGCATTTGAGTGGTGAGCTCTTTCAAAAGACTTGCCCCAAGAAAACTTTTCCTGGTTTTGCCAGAAAGTTCATAATTTCGTTATCTCCCTTAACAATTAATTCATATCTTTACTGCCACAGTACAGGATGCCTATTTAGGCATATTCTACTACTGTATGCTTCTCCTGTGCAAAGGACTCTGGTATTGTGCTAGGCATGGAGTGGGGAAGGAAGCAGACATATCCTCTATAGTGGACACAGGAAGAGTATATACAGTGCAGATCCGGGAAAACAATACCTAAGCAAACATGCAATTTCAAAGTGTAATAAACGGTGGGCAAGAAGCCCACAGAATTTTAGCAACAGAGAGTAAAGGAAAAAAGCAAGGTAATTTCTCTAAAGAGGGTGATTTTAAGACATTTCATAGGAGGGAATTCTTAAATAGAGACCTGAAGGTGTTTTGTTTCGGGGACTGGAAGATTGACCCAGGATGCTTTACCACCATGTTACCTTCCCTGCCCTTTTTATTTTGGGGGGACAGTTCTTGCCAAATTGGAGATTGGTCTCTTACTTGTGATCCTCCTGTTTCAGCCTCCAAAACCGCTGATATCACTGGCATGCACCACCATGTCCAGCAGAGATCTTAAATTCGAGGGTTAAGAACCGTTATATGTCATCACATTAAAAACCCTAATCGCACTTCCAATCCCAGGAGGTAATTAGTGCCTTTACAGGAAGTCAGAAGAGCTCGTTTCTTCCCTCCTTTATCTCTAAGTTAGAGAACAAAAGTGGGCTGTGAAACCTGGAAAAGGCCTCCATCAGAAAACACCCTGCGGGCACCTGCCTGTGGGTCTCGGCACTTCGCCCGCGGGCCCCAGGGCGTGAGGGCAGCCGCGAGGGCACGCGCGGGGCTGGAGCCCACATTTCTAAAGACTCTTCACAAACTGGGGCTAACGACACAGGCTCACTGCGGAAAAGGGGGCCCTTGGCCGCTCTCTGCCTCGTGGCGTGCTTTCGTGGTTAAGGTGAACGAAGTGTTAGGCTAGGACTCGGCACAGGGCGAGGAGACGCAGTTTTAAATTACTTTTAATCCGTCAGCGGGTCGGAGCGTCGTCTCCAGGGCGGCTGCGAACTCCTCAGGGGCCGAATTCCCCGCACCTGGGTGGCGGGGCGTGGCCACAGGGAAGGCCTACCACCTTTCCCGGCCTCCGCCGCTTCCGAAGTCAGGCTCGGGGCGGCAGGCACACCTGGGGACAGGTGAGCCGCCTCCTCAGACCCTCTGCCCTCCTGCTTCTCAACCCTTTTCAAACTAGATGGAGCGGAGGAGGCCGGGAGCACCTGGCTTCACCCAAGGGATCCGTTCCGCACAGAGCCCCGCGGACAGCGCTTCCGGTCCCGCCAAACCCCGCGATATTTCACCCACCCACAGGTCCGCGCACAACGGCTCCGCAACCCTGGAACTTTCTAAAACCCCGCGCACGCTCCTTGCTGCTCTTAACGTGCTGGTTCCGCCCTCCTCTGACCACGCCCCTGCCCTTCTGGGCCGCCCACTCGGCGCCTCACCAAACTTTTACTTTTTCCCTGGGGTAACCTCGCAACAGACCTCTGATTGGCTAACCAGAAGAGAAGGCCGTGTTGAAGGCGCAGTGATAGGCTGGGCGTTGTCTCCGCCCTCTAGTGGTTTCTTGAAAGTTGATTGGTCGGAGCTGCTGCCCAATCAGCGCTGGGCTGTCGGATTCAAATCCAGAGCGTTGGGCCTGCGGTCGTTGGTTTTAGTCGAGTCGTTGCCCTGGCCTGAAACGGACGTGCGTTCCGCCTCGCCCGTTCTGCAGTCCGGTTTCCGCCTCGTTTCCGCCCCGCTGCGCGCCGGCAGTATGGCCCATAAGCAGATCTACTACTCTGACAAGTACTTCGACGAGCACTATGAGTACCGGTGAGCGGCTTTCGCGGACCCCACTTGGCCTCTTCTGGCGGGATGGCGTGGGCCGAGGGGGAGGCGGGAGGTGGCGAAGGTGGGCTGCAGCGGGAGGTGGAGGGCTGGGGTCGCTCCGAGCCCTCGCCGCCCCGGAGTCGGGACGCATGGAGGAGGCCTTTGTTCGCCAACCCCGAGATGGAGGAGCGGCGCTCACGACCGGGGTTTCGTGCCCAAACCGGAACCGGCCCGGGAGGCTCCGCCCCGCGGAGTCGGGGGCGGCGGGCCCCGGGTCGCGGCGGGCCCTGGGGAAACGCTTGCTCTTCACGTTGGCTGAGGGGAGTCCCCGAGAAAGGCGCCTGTCCCCTGGAGCGCTGGCGGCGGCGAGGGTGCGGGCACGCCCAGCTCAACGGTTGACCGGGCCTCGGTCCAGGACCCAGTGGGGAACCCGAGTGGATTTTAGGCACTTTCCCTGCTCGTTCACTGTGAGCAAATTGCGTGTTTGACTTGGGAATTCTGCAGCGGCGCACTAGAAAGTAGCGGCTCAACTGGAACCAGTGGAATTTAGCAGGAGGAATTGTGGGAGGAGGGGATGTTTAAATGTGTGGCCTTGTTGTGTGTCGAACTTAACTGGGGCGTGGCTGCAAGGACCAGGCCACCCCTGGCCCTCCTGCTCATAACTACAGTGTGCATTCTGGGAAACGCTGCCCTTGGCCACGGTGACCCTGTTTTTGTTTGCCCTCTTAGAAGAGATTTCCAAGAATGCTGTTTGAGGAAGAAATTTACGTTTTGAGAGGGTGGCCTTTTTGCCCTCAACCTTAGTCAGGGGGAGGTTACAGGATGAAAGCAGAATTACTCCAGGCCGTTTTAACTGTTAGTATTATTTGAATTGCTTCATATTCTTAGCAAAAAAAAAAAAAATCACTTTTCTGGCCCTACATGCATTTGAAATCTTTACGTAGTAACTACACACTGCTCAGTGGTAATTATCCCAACTGGGGATATCCAACAAGGGACTGAATGTAAACTAGTATCTTTCTAAAATTTGGCAAATTATAAATTTTGGAACAATCTGGAACCAAGTATTTAGAGTAAACTTTTTTTTTAATTTCTTCTAGGGCATACTATTAAAATTAGACTAAAATACTAATCTGACATCTGTTAGGTCTCTTCATTTTTAATATACTCAAATGATCTATGATAGGCACTAAATCTGATTTACAACGTTGTTTGTGCCAATGTATAGAAGAATATCTTGGCATGTCTGAAATACTTTATTCTAACTCAATATAATTTAAGTTTCTGGTTTTATTTTGCTGATACTGGGGAATTAACCGTAGGAATGCTTTCCTACTGAGCTATTCTTCTGCCTATGTGGGTAGGATTACAGGTGTGTACCTGCACACCTGAAGGAGCTGATCTTAATTGACCAAGCCACTTAACCTTAAGCAGGTTAACAATCTCCTGAAAGCTGGGAGTACATACTGATAATTCACCACTGAGGTGTGAATCAAGGGAGGTTTGTATATAGTGGTGCTACATGCAATATTTCTTTTTTCTGTGAGCAGTCTTTTTTTTCTTTTGTATTTGCAAACTAGTCCTTTCTCTTGCACTTGCATGCCTTTTGTAAAGGCTATAAACTAGATGGATGCCATATCTTCTCTAGTATCATGGGAGTCTTGTCTTTGCAGGAAGAAAACTGAGGATTATTAACTCTTGGTAATTATTAATACTTGGGCTGAGATGTATCCAGGGGTAAAAACTTCTCACATTCATGAGAGATCTATCCCCAGTGGCAAAAATAATATCTGTACTGTTATTCCAACTGAAGTAAAAGTTGGATGCAGTTATTTTGGAAACTATCAACCATGTAGTAAAATATAGGTAGAATCACTATGTGAGTTTAAATCTACTTAAAAATTTTTGCCTCTTAACTCCAACGAAGGAGAGCCAGTTTTTTATGGTTTATGAAGATAAGACTTGGAAACCTACATTTAAATAATTCTACATTTATGTAGATATTCTGTTCATGAAAGCAAGTGTACAAAAGCATTTCATTGTCTTGATACTAATCAACAATATACAAGGTATTGAATATACAAGGAGTTTTTGTAGAGCCTAAAAAGCTAAGCAGCTTTTCAAGAATGAGTGATTATTGATGTGTACTACAAATCCCCTTATAATTCACTGGAATTGGTGGAAATTCTATGGTCTGTGGTAGTGAGCATAATCTGTCTACATAACTTGCTCTAAGGCTTACTTTTGCCTTGTAAATAATACTAAATTGGTACATAACTAACTGGCCGTAAAATTAAGTTGATAACCAATTTTAAGCACCAAACTTTTATGGGTTCAGTTTTTGCATATGCTAAAATGTGACTGCATTGCACTAATCACCTAGCCAGCTGACTTAGAGACAGGTTAGATATCCCATACTGGTCATAAAAATGGGTTAGTGATTGTGGTTGGCTCTGTAAACAACTCTTACTATCCCTGGAAATGATAAATATGGGGCTGAGGATTGTCTTTTGTAAAGATCTTTTTATGGAAATTAAATTCTCTAAGGGAACAAGGGGTATGGTTTTGTTTTTAAGAACTTCATCAATGTACCAGTTGTACATAGTCTTGATTTGACATTGAAGACTATTTTGGCTATAAGTAACTTACTGGAAAACTGAAGGTCTATATAAGTTGTAAATACATGTATAATTGTATTAGTATTTTTTTAATTTTTATTTTGAACAAAGTACTTTATGTCTAAAGCAATTTCTGCAGTATACAATAACTTGTTTCTGCTATTGATCTACTGTTAACAGGACACAAAATTTAACTACCCTAAATTTTTGTTCCCATAAGGTAAAAGTCCAGTAGTCCAGGGCAAGAATGAGAGCTTTACTATCAGGAAACAGGCTTCTTAACCTCTTTTGCCTTACCACCCACCCTCCATTCCAACAGGAAGAAGAAAAAGAAGAGTTGGTTAAGTTCTTTTCCTTTGAGGGTATTTTTCACAAATTTGTGTGTTTTCTGATTATCTGTTGATCAGAATTGGTTTCATGACCAAACCTAGCTGTAGGTGAGGCTAGGATATGTAACTATGTGACTTAAATGGAGAAGATTGAATTACAAGCAAGCATTTTGTTAAAAAGTTTGCCCCAAATAAAATGTATTCTGTTTAGGGACACAGCATACTCTTGACTTCAAGCAAGCATTCTGTTAAAAAGTTTGCCCAAAATAAAATGTATTCTGCTTAGGAACACAGCATACTCTTGACTCCTATACTCAAGAATAACATCAAAGACATTGTAACATAGAGTTCTTTTAAAGAACTTTGTTTTGAGGGCAAAACTCAAGCTATTAGTGTCCTTGTTTTTTTGTGATGCTTGGAATCGAACCCAGAGCCTCCCCTCATGCCAGGCAAACACTATTGTTGAGCTATATACACTCTACCACACAATTTTTAATAACTTAAAGGTACATGTTTAAAATGATACTTGTATGAAAGATGCAGATCACTAATATTTGGTTATATCTTCTAACAGGCATGTCATGTTACCCAGAGAACTTTCCAAACAAGTACCCAAAACTCATCTAATGTCTGAAGAGGAGTGGAGGAGACTTGGTGTCCAACAGAGTCTAGGCTGGGTTCATTACATGATTCATGAGCCAGGTAAGTTTTGCTACAAAGTGGCAACTGAATTTAAAATAGTGGCTTTATCAAATTTTAGTAACATGAACATTCAGTGATATCTTAAAGTGATTCTGATAAACTTGGCTTTTTTAAATGACTGATTCCTTCTGTCCCTGGAGATCATTACTATTCCATAGGAATGAGAATATTACATTATTCTACCTTCAAGAATAATTTAAATAGTTCTGTTTTAATATTTGTCATTGTTAATTGTATTTAAAGTATTTTGTCATTACCTGGAACTTCTGTAGCTCTTCATTAAAAAAAAAAAAAAGGAATTTGCTACAGTAAGGGTAAATTAGATAGCTTATGATCGTACATGTGCCACCCATATTCGTATGTTTCTTAGTATTGGGGTACCTCATCAAATGGGCCTTTCCCCCCAAAATACAAAAGCAACTAAGAAACTGAACTGTAGATTCTTGGGGCTCCATCTATTGACAGTGGGTTCTATGGAGGTAGGGGTTCCTGTTTTTTTTGTTTTTGTTTTGGGGTTTGTGGTGGGGTAGTGTGTGTTTTTTGGTATTGGGGATTAAACCCCAGGGAAGCTTTATCACAGAGGTTCATCCCCAGTCCTTAATTTTTTTTAAATTTCAAATAGACTTTCACTAAGTTTGAGGCTGGCCTCAAACTTGGAGTCCTCTTGCTTCAGCCTCCTTAGTCTCTGGGATTATAGGCATCTGCCACAGCACCTGGATCCCTGGTTGTTTTTAATGTACAGTAGCGTTGAGAGCTAGTAGCTGATTTGAAGGGAATGTACTTTCCCAATAGAATATTTTTCTTTTCACTGGAATGGAGATTGTAAAGGTAGAAGAAGGTAAAGCTTTTCTATTTACACTTGCTTCCAGGCTAAAATATCAGAAGAATGTTCTAATTATCAGAAAAGTTTTCCTTCAACAGCTGTTAACAGTGACTTTGAAGCAAAGTTCATTTTAGATACAATAATCCCATTAATAGTTGAATCAATTTAGTTGTTTTGTTAACCATATTAAACTAAACATTTTTTCTTTTCACAGAACCCCATATTCTTCTCTTTAGACGACCTCTTCCAAAAGAGCAACAAAAATGAAGTCTATCTGGGATCATCAATTAAATCTTTCGCAAATTTAATGTATATGTGTATATAAGGTAGTATTCAGTGAATACTTGAAAAATGTACAAATCATTCATCCTTACCTGTGCATGAGCTGTATTCTTCACAGCAACAGAGCTCAGTTAAATGCAACTGCAAGTAGCTTATTGTAAGGTGTTTAAAATTTCTTCTAGTCAGTTTTTCTCTTAATATAAGTGCCTGTTTGACATTACCTGTTACTTTTGTTAAATAAAGTTTGTATGTTGCATTTACCACTGTTTGAAGTTACCGAGGTATATTTTTTTACATTTAATTTGTGACTTGATATTTTCATTTTATAATTTTAACCCTGAGGAAATAAACTTAAATGAAAGAAATGTCAAATGAGTTTAAAATAGCTTGGTATGGTGGGGGGTGATACCATTGAATTTACTTGAAGAAACAAAAAAAAAACAGGTGTGTGATTAAACTAGAACCAAAGTAGATTTAAAGCTTTGTTATTAGTGTGTAGAATCTCCAAGTGAATGGAAAAAAGCCCTTCTCAATACTGTATTATCTGGGTTCCTTTCACTTATCTAAAAAGTGCCACTACTATTGGGTTTGCAGAGAAACCACTATCTCAATTTGCCAAGTGGGGATAATTTTTTTGTTTGGTTTTCCCCATATTTTTTAAAAACTGCATTATAGTAGGATTTGTCTTTCTACTCATACATGTATCAGTATAAGAATTACATTGTCAGTATTAAAAGTTAAGCATTGTACAACATCTTCACGTTATATTTTGCATTTTTTTAGATTGCCTTTTTAGCTACTAAAAAAAAAAATTGCATTAAAAGCAGATACTCTTAGTTGATGTGCTTAGTGAGGAGTTGGCCAGGGAACACAGGCAATTTTGTTTAGAAAGTGTATATAATGAAAGAAAAGAAAGTGTATTTAATGAACACAAGAAAATATATTAGCTGAGAGGGAATGGTGGCAGCCAATGATAACCCTTCAACCTTCAGCACAGATTTCCTGTCAGACCTTAGGTTTGCGTTTATACAGGCAATTTTAATTGTAACAGTCTGAGAACCCATCCGGACAGAAACATGAACAAGAACTGCCAGCATTTATAGCTTGAAAAAAATACCTGTATTATTCAAATAGTCTGCAAGGGATTTGTTTCAATTTAGTTAGCCCACAGTCTTTAAGTGGTCTGCATTATAGGCAAACGTCTTCTCATCTTTAAATTGGCATCTTTTGGAATCCGCTCTGCGGGCTTCCAGCATGTCTACTGTCCTCCCTGTACTTTAATTTTTTGCGGTTAACACCTTCCCTTGTGGAGAGCCTTTTTCTCCATCCTGTAAAAGTCTTATTTTTCCATCTCTTTACCCTCCCCTGGCACATTTTTTAGATGTTCAACAATTGTTGAAATAACAATTTTGAGGTCAAATTCCTTTCCATTGTAACTTCCAAACTGCTAGGTGCTTCTTAAGTTTGACACTAATAACTTCCAAACCTACAGGGTCTCTGGCAGGGGCAGGGGGGGTGGCCTGTAGTTCCGGCAGCTCAGAAGGAACTCTGGGGTGTGGCTCAGTGGTTGAGTGCTCAGAGGTTAATCCCCAGTACCCCAAACCCCACAAGGCCCGTAAGCCTCTTCACAGGGTATGGGAGACACCCCAGGTCTTCAACCTAGAGGGGATCTGGGAAGTGCGGGAGGCCACCGCGGTAAAGGGCCTTTCCAGGGTACCTACCGAGGAATCCTCCCAGGCATCTCGCCAGACACAAGTAACCCACGGCTTCCCGCTAAGCCTCGAGTCCTGCTGCTAAGTCAATCAACCCGCCTGGGAAGCCACCCGAGGTTCCTATATCTTACCCTTAGGCCACGCCTCCTCACTCGGGTGACTTCCGCTGGCGGCTCCCATGGGCCGCGGGCCTTCAGTTCTTTCCGCCGGAAGGCGGGGGAGGCGCTGTCGCTTTTCTCTGACGCACTTCCTGGCGCCGCCTCCGAAGGCGGAAACGCTGAGTGATCTGGGCCCTGCGGCTGTCCTCGCTGGGCGGGGGCTCCTCAGAGCCGCCTGCCATGGCGTCAGAGGGGCAGCGGGAGTCGGAAGGCGAGGTAAAGGTCTCAGGGGCTTCCCGCCCTGGCGGGCGAGCTCTCGGCGGCTTTAGCCTGTAGACCTGGTTTCCTTTGGGGGGTCTCAGTCCGGAGGTGTCGGGGTGGCTGGCGGGGAGTCCTTGAGGCGTCGGCCACTTACCCCAGGTCCCCCGGTGGTCAGCGCCGCGGGCGGGGAGTGATGCCACAGAGGCCGGCGTCTGCCACCCTCCCCGCGATCCGGGGGCGAGAACTGGGGACCTCGGCAAGCTGGCCGCGCTCCGGGGAAGGAGAAACTGGTTTTCTAGCTCCCTGGGTTTTCTTAACCTCGACCTTCGCCCTACACCCTCAGCCGCTAGAACGAGCCCTGTCAAAACGTAAAAAAAAAGTTCTTGGTGAAAGTAAGTCACTTACTACCTATTTCTAAATACTACCTATTTCAAGAACCTCAAAACAAAACCAAAAACAAAAAAACACACTTTATTTTAAATTCCAGGGGCTCGTGACAATAGGATCATGTTCTACCAAATCAAATCTTATTTTTCTAATAAAGCAAGAGACTTAGTGCTCTGTTGAGTAACAAGCAAATGTTTTGTGTGACTCTTCTGAGAAATTTAATGGAAATAAACTTATGTGAGTGCTAAGTGTTTCCTGAGCATTTTCGACAGCAGTAAGTCCAAGGAGGCTCTCTGTTATACCTAGTTAAACTGATATAGGTTAAATGCCCGTATTCCAAATTTAAAACCATAGAAACAGCAATTGTAATCATTATTACATAATATAGGCTTTATTTACTTCCATTTAAATTGATTTTCCTTATTTTTCACTTTTAACATTTGAAAAATGTTTTTCTAATAAAGCATTAGTAAAGGAATTCTTTACTAGGAAAAAATACAAGTATTCTTTAACTGTATACAAGTATTCTTTATTCTTTAACTGGGGATTGGACCCAGAGGTGCTCCACTACTGAGCTACATTTCCTTTTTTTTTTTTTTTTTTTTT